CACCTTCTTTTTCTTCTCTTTCACTGTCTCAGAGGCAGAGTGCTCTGGTTCAGTGGCAGGAAGTGCTCTCAGAGATGGGTCTGGCTCTACCACTGTACTTTTACCCTGCTCCACATCTATGTAGATGTGATCAGCTAAAAATGGTTCTTCGTGGAATAACTCAGCAGGCTGGGATGACTCAGGTGAAGCTGAAATCGAAAGTTTACCAGTTAGGTAAAACTTTTTCAAGCAATGCTATCATAACATTTGATGATCGTCAAATAATTATGTGGGTAAAGGTTTGACCCTACACTCAGCACAATAAAGCACACCTGTGAGTGTTAAGCCACTTAGTAGGTCCTTTGCCTTTTTATTTGTGGTCAGAATGGAATACTTACCTTCCTCAACTTCTGCAGTGTCTAGTCTGTTAGGTGCAGCCTGAGGATCCAAAGGGGTTTTACATAGGAATTGCTTAAGGCAATTGATGGTATGTGTTCCAACAAGAGTACTCCTCCCAAACGCTCTCCAGTCGACCACGCAGATGCTCAGTGGTGGATGCAGGAGTTCGTTTTCAGGCAGCTCCTAGTGTAGGAGGACACACAGCAGCATGAGGATTGATAGAGAATATAGAACATGTGTAGAATATTTCTTGTGCGCAGCAATGAGGCTTTTACTCTTGACTCCCTTCTCCCCTTCAGCTACTAACCTACTCAAAAGGCAAAATGCATTCAGCACAAGCAATATAATTTCATCTCTGGTTTTCTATAAAATCTGGAGAAAGCCTTGTTCTTAGGAATACAGAGTGGACTGTACAGAGTGTGCTGATGAGTTGGGTCCCATGCTGTCATATACAAGCATCTCTTGCTAGAATAAACTGGGAGAATCAGGAACATCCAGAAAGAATGAATACTATCTTGGAATTTGGGAGTCTCAATGGTACTTCTACTGTGTTGAAGGCTATTAATCCTATCTGACTGAGTTTTCCCAACCAGGAGATGTGGACACTGGGTGGTTACATGCCTTACAGGATGAACTACCAGAGGGAAAACAGCTCTTTGGACATGTGACATACAATGGATCCTAAAAATGCTGGAGAAACTCTTCTTTGGTATCAAGGTTATTGCTTTAATATCCTTTTTTCTTATAAATAAACCTCTCTCTAGATCCTAGCAACAAGAGCAAATTGAACAGACTAATTTTTTCTGTTGCTGACCTTTGTTCACTGAAAGAACCAGCTCTTATAACCCAAGCAACAGGCGATACATAACTTTCCAGTTCATAAAAGCAAGGGTGACAATGTGCAAAGGTCCAGAGCTCATAAGCCAGAAATGATCAGTGCCCTTAACAGCCCAGTAACATAGGGAGGAATATTAAAAGAATGGAAAGAAAATAAAGGAAACTGAACTGTCAGCAAGTTCCAACCTATCAGCTGGAAAATAGGTTGGTAAGTAAAAATCAGATTGCGACATATTTCCTTGCCTGCTTAGGACATAACTTGAGGAACAACTCCTTCTCTTGTCATACAGTTTTAGCAGAAGTCTTTTAAAAGCATCTTTGGATCAGTAGCTTTTGCATGAGAACTGCCATCCTTTAGTATTTAATCAAGACACAGAGGAAATTATTTGACAAGAAAGGAAGGACAGTGAGAGTCAACACCCTGCCTAACCAGAGCAAGACTGCCTAAACAGAGCAAGGGGCAGCATGGTATACACACCACTTCAAACCAGTCTGCAAGGCCAGTGAAGTTGGGATTTTTCTTGTAGCTCTGTATGACAGAGGATTTCACTCCTTTCCCTGCACATTCGATGAGAACCTGAGGGCGATCTACAGAGAGGAGCTGGACTTTCTTCAGCTCTCGAACACCCCAGAACAGGACCTGTGTTGTGCAGAGAGAAACACTGTTAGCCTGCAGAAATCCCTCAGTCTGGGGAATCCACTGCTGGGATCCTATCACCGCATATCCTACTGGGAATGCACAACTACTAGTAAAAAAAAAAAAAACCAAACAAACAAAAAAACCAACATAAATCTAATATCCAATAACCATCAAAATTCATTATGGAAGTTAAAACAACTAATAATATCCAACTGTTATCAGGAGTTATTGCCAACAGCAAGCCCTAATAATGCATTTGCAAAAGGTGTTTTTTCAGCAGGGAAAGGGGACTATTCATCTGAACAGCAGAGGCTTGATTTGTTTAGAGTGTTAGAGCTGTTAAAGGAACAAACATATCCCACAGGAGCAGAGGTGATTAACAGAGGTTTGACAGCCAAGCTAGCCCTCAGGTCTGCACTGGATGGCAGGAGGTCTCCAAGCAGCTTTCCCTTAAAGGACTGTGCTCCTGATCTGGAGGACAAAAAGGAGACTGGCTCTGTAGAACAGGGGTCTGCAGATAAAATGGGACTTTATACGGAACATGTTGGGAAGCCCTAAAGTAGAGGACTGGGACAGTTGGGGATGGGTATGTTGTGGTTGGTCAGGGAAACTGTGAGTCTCATGAACTGAAATGAAGACTGGAAGCTAAAGGGAGCATGGGGGCTTTGTGGACAACTTGAACTCTGGTAGGGCTGGGGATTTGTGTGAGACAGGGAGTGGTAAGGAGCACTGGAGAGACATGAGGATTGATGAGATTCTGCTCGGTTGCCAGAGGTTCCCAGCTAAAACTGGGGCACACTTGTGTAGTGGCCTTTTCCACCAGTGCAAGGTATAGTCTATAATGTCTTCACAAAAATAGTTGTGTTATATTCATTCTGTGTTAATTGCTTTCTGGATACCCTCTAGAGTTCATCTTTCCTTCAGTTGCACTTCAACTATAAACCTGTTCTTGAAGCAATTTAACTTTCTGGATCTGGATGCAATTTACCTCATTTTAAGCTACCCAAGGTATCAGATGCAGGAGTGGGAATGTCCTGGTGTCCCTCCAGAACCAAAGGATCCAGAGACACACTTCCTAAACATAATTTAATCTATTTAAGATCTGAAACACTCTGGGAAGGTGGCTGCTCTGCTCAGCCATCCAAACAAGAAGGGAGTAAGTAAGGGAGCTTCTAAGCTGGCTACCCTAGAGCTACTGGGGATGAAAGTCAGAGCAACGTAAAATAAAAATGTACAAACAGCACAAAGCAAGAGTGCAAGCAGGGGCAGTGGGAAAGCCTTCACAGCACAATACCTTGACAAACACCTAAATTTAAGGATTAGGTTGTCCATTTGCATCAGCAGAGTAGTTCATGAGGTTGTTTACCTCACAATAGCAGAAGTTAAAAAAAGGAGTACTGCTAACAAAATCTCATTCCTAGGTACAGAAAGCAATAGCTTAACTAAAGGATATAGTAGAGCTAATAACTGTTCTCTGCTTTTCAGCACCTCAGTTCTTGGATCTTTGAATGCAAAGCTGGAATTGCTTTGGGCTTCTGAAAAAGGATTTCTGGGGAAAGACCATCAGGCAACATAAGCAGGGTCTGACTTGGCATGGAAAAATGGGCAAATAGGCAGGTGGTGTGAAGGCTGTAGGATGAGTGGCAGTGAGTGGTGAGGGTGGACAGCAGCATCCAGGCATTGTACTGATACAAAAAGCTGCCACATTACCCTACTTTCTGACATAAGAGTACTTTGGACACAAATGGTGCAAGAGAGAAGGGCGGGGAAGGTGTGGACATTTGCAAGCAGGCAGAGGCATTGTTTGGCTTAAGTTTGGGACCCAGAAAAAGCTGTGAGGTGGCTGATGCCACTGGAGCCGACAGCTCCAGTGATGTCAATTGCAAGGAGAAGCTCTCCATCTCCTACAGACACTTCCTTAGGTTGCACAGAGCAATGTCCATCAACTATGCTCTGCCACAGGAGCAGTCCCTTCCCAGCAGGTCAGGACTGAGACAGAGCCCTTGCTGGCCTCACTGAAAGCACTGCCTTGCATTCCCAGGCTCAGAGAAACATTTTGATCTGAGCTTTCCACATTCATTTTGGATCTCTATGCTATTTTAATGTGATTCCTATTGATCAGGATTTAAAAATCATCATCCCTTACTGTTACATTTCAATAAGAGAATAAAAGGAGATGAGGTCAGCAAATGGAAATATTCAAAGTGACTCACCTCCACTCTGTATTTGCTTAAAACAGGTCGTATATTAGCTGGGACTGGGAAAATCTGGCCAGCATCTGGTGGATCCAGTGGGGGAAGTCTGTCTGGATCTGACTCAGGAATCTGAAAAATGAAGCAGTCATAACTTAGGTTGGTTTTTGGAAGAATAAAATCAGTATCAGAAGTATCTGAATGACACCTATATAGAACCCACCAATTTAATGCCGTTTTATAAGATATATTGCAGAGCAGAGCAGTTGTGGTGTGAGAGGAATGTGACCCAGATTGCTGTCTCTCATGCTGTGATGCTAAAACATTTGGCAGAAACAGTATTCAATAGATTGCATTTATGCACCTTTCTGAAAAAAGGACTCCTTTGTCCTAGGAGGACATAGTCTTCCCTAAAGATATGTATGTGCTGAAGCATGTTAATTCTATTTAACAAAAATCCTGAGCAAAACTGCTTGGAAGACTTCCACAGGAAAATTCTAGATCTGATTCTAGTTAGAAAAGGCCAATGAAAAAACAGCGCACATCAGCTAAACCACACATTTGCCAGAGAGACATAATGCTCTCCAGCTGTTATGGAATAGCAGTCCTGAGTTATTGCATGCTCTCACCATTGGAGGACTTTGAAACCCCATCTCCAGCATCAGGGCTGGGTCTTCTCCGTGCAGCTACTAAAATCTTGTGGCAGGTGGCACTTACGTTCTTTGTGTGTGATTGCACATGAGCCCTAAACCACGATCGGGAGCTTCTCTGGGTGCACACGACTGCTCTGTGCCAGCTGGGTGGGAGGAGAGGAGGCTCCACTGCACCTCTAAGGCTTCACCATCTCCTCCTCTTGCTGTGCTCTGGGCTTTGCCACCTGCTTAGTTCACCTTCTGTGAGAAAGCTCATTGGTTTCATTTCCCAATAATTTCCTAAATTTTAGCAGTGTAATTATAGCCTTCTCAGTCCATACAGGGCAGAGCTGAAGCCTGGCCTGATTTAGCAGATTTCTACATAAAATAGCAGAGGACACCTGATGATGAGTCCTGTCAGAAGCTAAGGCTGAGAGAACAACCTATGGACAGAGCTCTCCTCAGCTTTCACTTGAAGCACAGTACCTAAAGTACATGCAGCTTCTGGGAAGCAGAAACAGGTTTTCTGGAGTGTGTCAGTGGCCATGAGCTAACTTGTCACCGCTGAAAGGTGAAGCAGGTGAGATACAGCTCTCAAAGGATCTGGGAAGTCTTCTGCTTCATTTAATTAGGTCATCTGTCTATGTGCAGTTGTGTGGGAGTTTAATTACCACAAGGGAGAAAGGATGTGTTCCCTAGCACCTTGCAGGGGAAGGAGGAGATGAGTGGAAAATTAATTACTAATGTAGCACCTGCACCATAGGTGAGTATTTACATAATTAGCAGTAACATTTCACATGCACATGTGATTTCCCTTTATCAGTAAACCCCAAAGCAATTAATTTAATAAATGCACAGAACAAGAGGTGAAGAATGATCTAGCACTCAAATGACAGTAAAGGAAAATACCCACAAGATGTGTTTAAAAGGAGATTTTCCTTTTTTCATTAAAAAAAAAATAAGAAATCAGTAAATCCTGAGCTCACTTTGAGCAAAATCAAGACTCCTAGTATTCATTAGTCTGTATTTTTTTAGTCTACTATTACCTTAAATGCCAGGAAGCTTTGTTATAAGAATAATTTTATTCCTTCAGCAAGACCCAGCATTCATTTTGAGAAAGGAGCAAGCACTTCTTACACAACACTCCTTCAGCTGAACCAAACGTTACCTACAGATCAGAGTTACTGAGCACAGTATGCCATAGGAAAGGTTGTGGGTTCAAAATGACAATAAATTAGTGATGAGGGATTTTTGTTTCCATCCTCACACAGAGCATCATCAGGAATGCACTGATGTTGGAAGCAGCCACCAGTGTATCAACTCTGGGAGAGCTTTGAAGACTGGTAGATGTTTACATATATATTTTTTCCCCCCTGAAAATTTCTTTAATGTTGATATTGCTATTGTCTGCCATGTAAGATGCTCTACAGTGTTACAGAGAAAAAAGTGCAGAGCATGAAGATAAAAGGCTCTAGGGTTTTTACTTACAGTTCTTGTCAACTTTCTAGAGACTTCTTAGGAGTACATTTGAGTATATCCCCAAAACAGTGCTGTTTCTTTGTCCCAAAAGATGGCAAAACAAAATACAATACTCTTTCGTTCACGTGAAAGTAAAATTCAACTTAAAAATGGGAAAATTATGGCTAAAATACTAGTCTCTATCCATTGGTGCCTACCATAGTGAGGAAATATTTCACATGGTGCCATATTTCAGGCTTTCACCAAAAACATAATTAGCCACCATCCTTAAAAGCCTGTTTTATATTGGGAATATCTAGAAAACATGTCACAATGTTTCATATTTTTCCCATTTCAGAAGAAACTGCTTTAGATTTTCAGAAGATAGAAGTTTCCTCCAACTGATGGCTCTGGAAATTTCACTGAAATTTTCTGAAACCCCAGGTATGATGCACCCCAGCCATGCATCTGTCAGGCTAGCCAGGGAGGTAAGCTAAATTTTCCTTTTGTCTCACAGCTGGAAACCATGGAATATTTCTTTTAATACAGTAGGGATACCTGAAAACTCAGCCTACCTAATCAAATCTGTATTATTCACCACTTCCTAAGAGTGAAAGCAACATTGGGAGCTTTGAGGTTGGTAAAGTCAGGGCCACGTGCTACTCCAAAGAGCACGCAGGGGGATTTTCTCAGATATTTCTCATGTCAGAGCATAGTTTAGGGCAGGGCAAGTGACAGGCAAAGGAGGCTCAGAGTGTGTGAAGGGTTGGCAGGATGGAGGGGGTGACAGAGATTGCATGGGGACTATGAGGTCCAACGGCAGAATGATCCTGCTCTGGTTGCAATTCCCATTTATTCAAGAGGGTGATGGACCTTGATGCCACGGCACCTTTTGTGAGCCCAGGGTGTAAAAGTGCAATGGCCAAGAATGTTAAGTATACCTCCAAAAGCTCAAATGTAGCAAGAAGGTCTCCTCCTGAAAGATTTCCACAGTACACTGGGTGGTAAGAAAGTTTGGGTGGTTCGTAGCTTTGATGAGCAAGTCTCACCACAGGGGCAGCCACTGTAGATCCAATATATTCTGCCTTACCCTAAATAAAGGAGAATACCTGTCAAATGCATTTGGATTTCACAGCTGTCCGAGGAGCCAGGATGATGTAGAGCTTAGTATTGGTGAAAAAAGCCTTCTTGTGGAAAAGAAAAGGCAAGGTAAATGCAAAGCAGCTATGAAGATGGAAGAACTACTTACTACCCCTTCAGAGCATCCAAAGTTCCCGGGTTCAGTCAGTAAGACTGTCAGAGTCTACATGGTCAGAGAAAAGGCTGTCTTGCCCCAGAAGTCAATACAGTTTTTACAGTTGTGTTCCAGGGAGATGGGAGCACAATGCTTCTGATTTCTGTAAGCCAGCCTTTGGGAGCAAGATTCACTTGGGGAAAATACAAGGCCACAGCTTTGCAAGAACATGAAGTGAATCTCAGGGCTGTTCTCAGATATTAAACTGCAAACCACAGTAAATCTGAGCTCCATTCAGCAAGGTCATCCATTTAATGCCTATTCAGTGACTCAGCTTTTCTTTCAGGCTGGCAGTATGATGCAAAAGCCCAGGTTTTCACTAAGAAGAATTTTGAATTTACCACTGCATCATCATCGTACAGCTCGATGACAATCTCTGGTGGGAACTGAGCGATCTCCTCTCTGTCGCCGTGGAGCACAATGCTGTTGAAGAGCAGCATCTGGTTCCAGGTGGGGGATAATGTCTGTGAAATGATCTAATGAAAGAGAGGAAATGTTTAATGAGGTATGGACTGGTTGGTTTGGAGTCCTTCATCAGGACATGTTGATCTGCTGGTGACATCCTTTCCCACAGCCTGAACAATTCCATGTTGGAGACACCACATTTTTTGGCAGCTATTCCCAGCCAGAAGAACATGAATCTTTCACCTATCTGTTTGCCTCACAGTTCCCTTACAGGCATATCAATATATGACTACCTTTCTGTGTAGACAAACCTCAGTATTAAAGTTAGAGGAAAGCTGCTGGTTTAGGAAAACAAGTACATGCCCAGCACTACTAAAATGAAGTCTTTGTCCTAAACTGAGGCCACTTTTCACATCTCCAGGGTACATTTTTTCAATCTTGTTTTTGCTTCAATGTAATGACGTAACACTTCACGAGGGGGAAAAAAAAAGAAAAGAAGATGTTTTCATTTATCACTCATAATAAATCAAAAGTTTTCCATTTGTTGTAATTTGGCTTATGTGGATGCTTATGGCATTTCATCACAGGCAGTGTTTTAACTATCTAGGCAGGAAATATATTTAACAAAGATAACATTTAAAGAGGAAAACTATGCCAACTGTGAAATGACTCATAACTTGCTATCATTCTTTTGAATGGAACTAAGGCTCTCAACTACAGTTTATTGGCACTTGGCTGATGCTCTTATAAAAATATGTAAGTTGTCAGCTACAATACTTTATTCAGGCAGTGAATAAATTTAACTCTTCTGTGCCTATAAAACCTCATTTTTCCCGGGCCAAATTCTACTTTTCAGAATCTGGTGCATCTAAACCCTAACTTCATTGGATTCATTCATCGGCTTCTATTAGAAGTTGAAATTACATTACAGGAAAAAATCAATTCATAACCTTGAGGCAAAAGCAGCACAAACAGGCATCTGCAACTAAGAGAAGAGTTTTTATTTCTTGCTGCCTTTGGCACAAACACTTTTTCTGAAGCAAGAGCATATTTGGTTTGAAGCAAGACCGTATGGTGGCCCAGCAAATTCTACTTGTGGCATGGGTCTCAGAACTCCTGCCCAGTTTTAACTCCAGGGTAGCTGTAGAGGGCTCAGGATCTCTGAAAATCAGTCTTCATGTTCTGTGAGGGACTGTCCTCCTGCTTATTTGCGAGTTCAAGCCTTCCCTTCAGATCTGTAGAAGTGTCCCCTTCTCTCTAGAGACTCCACCAAATGTCCAGAGGAGTCCAGTTGTCCCCTGAGGCCTATGGGCACGTTTTTGCAGCATTTAAGAGGTGCAGAAACTCTCCCACCTCTCTATATTCTGCTCATTTCCACACTGTCACTCTAAAACCACCAGTGTGCTCTGCTGAATTCCATCACAAGGATCCATTCTGGTTCACTTGGCTGTGGAAGCCAATAAAGCTCTTCACCATATTCAATCATTGCAAGCACAGACTGCAAGCACAGTGCAAGCTCATAGGAAAAGAGAACCACGAGGTTTCGTCTTTATTACAAGCAATGTCAAGAGCCCAAATTTAAAACACATAGAAAAAGATGCAGAGAAAGGTAATTCACTTGCTACAAAGTCTCAGTAGTCCCAGAGAATCTGATATCTGAGCTAAAAAAAACTAGTACTAATGCACTTCATGTTAGAGTAGAGGCTAACACATAAACCTTTGCCTTGTTTGCAGTGCACTGTCAGGGGCTGCCCTTTAATGGAAGGCATCTAACTTTTCCTGCTAGGTACCTCCTTGCAAAACCCAGATTTTTTCCTTTTCATAGCTTAATTGAGGGGAAAAAAAAAAACCCAAGAGTTTTCAGTCACCAAAAGAGACTTTGGAACTTACCTTTGTGGTCTGACAGCGTGATGTGAAAGTAACTTTTGCAAAAGGATCAGAAAGTCCGGTGCTGTCAGCGGCAATGAGCCCCCTCGCCTGATACATGTGGGCTCTCAGCTGGAAGAGGTGTGGGGCTGCATCATTGCAGAGAAAACAGCAATGTCAGCTTCAGGGAAATGATGCAGCACATAGGTGGGAAGGGAAGGGTTCATCACCTGCTGCCCCACCAGGATCTGACAAGGTGAAATGTTGCTAGTGCTATCTCGCTAAAGAAACACCTCAGACACTCAGAAGTTGTGCAAGACTTGTGAATCAATGACTGATATAAAGTCTCTACCGCAAGGCTGTTAACTGCAAACTTTTATCTCCCATCACTATCTTTTCTACTAAGTGTTCAATTCAGTAGCTTCATCAGAGAACCGAGGCGTGCTTCTCCATAAGGAGACAGACCCATGAGACAGGGAACAGAAATTGCAACAGAACAGATTCTTTCTTTCCCTGACATGTACAAAGTGTCAGTGACAGAACTGATGACTTGGCAATGAAACCAGCCTTTTGTGATGAGAAGAAGGTAGGTCATGATCATTTTAGAACAGTTACTTTATACAGGGGTTGTGCCACCCTCGAAATTAGAGCTTTTGGGGCAATTTCTCTTAATTGCTAATACAGAAATGAAACAGTGACTTACTTTTATACAGCAGGCAGGCAGGTGAGGGCACCACACTGTTCCCTGAGCTGGTGTTAGACGGCAGTTCAATCTCATATCCTACAGGTAAATTCTCCATGATACTGTGGGCATAGCTGGCAGGTCCAAGCCACAGGTAGATGTCCACCTTTGCCTGCACAGTCCAGCCCAGAGGGCGCTTGCCTGGTAACTGAACAAAAAATCCACCCATCACCAACAAGCTCAAGAGAGATGGCTGAATGCCGAGTACTACCAAGCCAGAGTAAAATAAAGGAGCATTCGCTGAGCTGATGTACTGACACATGGCATTTCTCCCAATAAGAGACTCTGAGACTCATTTAGCACAAGAAACTTTTGTGATTCTTAGGGAAGAAATAAGTAATATTCTCAATCATCAGTCTATGTAAATGACATACTGCCTAATATGCAGAGGTTTGTGCAGGCTACCTTACAGTGCAATCAGTCATAGCTGATACCCTACTTTGCCCAGACTTCAGCCCAACTTCCATGTCATGAATTTTTGCTGGTCTCCCATAGTTAGTCCTGTATAGTACTAAAAATATTACTCCATTGGGCAGGTTAGGAAACTTTTCCACTATAAAATATTACTAGTCTTGACCTATTATTTCCTTTCCCTCTCTTCCTATTTCATCCAGATCTGCTAGATATTTGCAGTGGACTGCAACTAGAGTTTAGTACTATCTGTTTCTAAGGTAACTCTAGATACTGAAGTGGGTGGACAGTTAATTGTGGATTTTTTTTACTTCATGAAGGTAAATAGTACTTTGTTTACCAAGTACCTATGGCAACTATCAACAGCTTAGATATTTCTATCTGCTCTTTAGCTGTGCTTTATGGGAGTAATCCCCACAGCACAAGGTGAAAAACCACTAAAAAGTCATTATATGAAGTTACTGTTGTCTTGTGTGTTTGGGTTTTTCCTGATGGCCACAGTAACAATTATATTGCACAATATTCCGCTGCAGGTACTACCAGTCACAGTGCCTTTGTAGGAGTATATCCACGAAGACTTTCCTTCAAGACGAATAATCCCATAGCAGTACTTTGTACATATATTGCACAAACCTAGGCAGGCTTTAAAAAGAAGTATAAATAATTGCTCTATTACCCCTGAATAGCTAGGTTACCTTACTATCTGAGTTGCTGAGTGCTGATCTCTTACCAGTCTCCTTCCAGGCTTTCATGTGCTGCATTCTGACATCTTTGCCAGCAAAGAGGCTGTACCTTTTCTGTTTATGTATACAGCCATAGATAAACAATGCTCTATGCTTGCCATAACAAGCAGTCAGAGAATTACTCATACATCAAAAGCCTGGAAGTAATAGAGTGCTTAAATAATGACAAGCATACATGAAAGAAGCAAATATTAATAAATGGCAGATATAAATTTGTATACTTTATACATTACAAAGATGAATCTGTAAAATAAAACCCCTGAAAGAAATTTAAGTACAAATGCTCCCCAGGCATTACCTGTGTTTGCAGAGTGCCACAAACTTACTTTGAGGAAATGAGTTTTAATCTTCCCACAGTCCTTGCCTCTCTGCTCCTTTGCTGGGGAGTAGAGGATGTTTTTTGCTGGGATTCTTGCATATGCAACTCTCTTGTTGTTGCTGAGCATCCAAATGAACACATCAGGCACCGTATTCTGTGGCTGTTAAATGAGGAATATTGAAGTAAAAATGATTTTTTTCTATGAAACACCACCATTATTTTTTGTTGAAACACTCTCCACTAAGAGCTGATTCCCTCATGGCCCCTGTGTAGTGGCAGATATGTACGTCAACTACGAGGCTGTCACCTCACGCTTTGCAGTCCACACCTCCATTTCTAATTACAGCTGAAGGTAAAGAGCTTTGCAAAGCAATTAAGGAAGACCCTCTTCATAAATCATTTCATGACAAACTAAAACTAAGAATCTGGGTACGAGTCTGTCTCAAGGAATAACTTACCCACAGGCTGTATAGTAACTACCGTGGAAATAACGTCAACTTCCTCTATGCCAGCAAACCCAAAGGACCAGGGCCAAACTCAAGCACTAGCATATAATCTGCTCATGAGGATGCTTGATGAGATCACCTTGTCCTGCCCCTAATCATGTTTCCCCAAACAAAGCCTGAGCGTGGTTTGTAGCAAAGATCCGCCAAGGAGCTGTTCCCTGGAAGAACTGAGTGAAAGGTCACTCTTTTAGGAAGGAAGAGAATTTTGGTGTAGGCTGCAAACCATGCCAGGCTGTGCCACTTGCTCTCTGAGCCAGGGAATAGCCATGGCCCTGCTTAGTTTGCTAGCATGGACAGCTCTCAGAGGGACAGCACTGTGCTGCCTGGATTTTGGCCTGACCAAACATGTCCATTCTTCTGCAGAGCATCCTCTCCATACCACATATCCCAGTGCTTCCTACCTTGGTTTGTTAACAACTTTACTTAATACAAAACAGGACTGGGTCCAGATATCCAAAGGAGAATTCTTTAGATAACCAAGCCAGGACTTACTTTTAACATGAGATCATTAAAATCAAAGTCAAGTCCTGGATTTTAAATTCATCTGAATTCTGTGCAGATTACCTCATCAACTAAGAATCGAATTTTATCTATGAAGATCTGAGTCTCACGAATCATTTCATCTAGTGGCATCTTCTTTTTCTGATGCTGAACAATTCCCTTGGCATCACTGGACATTGCTTCCTGCAGCCAAGAAAGACAATATGTACTTTTTATGCATTATCAAGCAGTTTGAACTGGAGGAGAAAACAGTCAAGTTGAAAAGAGAGGATAGAGACACTCAGTTCAAGGTTTCTTTGTCACAACAGAAACTGATCAACCCTTTGAAACTGAATATTATAAAATGAGAATATTCCCCATTTTGTCTCTGTCTGTATACATACTGCATGTATGGAAGTCCTAAGAAATATGTGATTGCCACATGGAATTATTGGGCCTTAGTTATGACAGAAGGTACAACCTTTTGTGCTGCAAACAGTAAATAAAGCTAATAAACATTCAGACAACCTCCAGCCAGTTTGGTTTCTTTTCACTGATTCCCTAGAGGAGGTGACTAGGTCCAGGAATATCAAACACCAGACTTTACTAGTTTTGAAGTTCACCATCACCACAGTAATTAAATGCCTAACAGCAGTATTAATTTGGTGATTTTCCACTGAACTCAGTATCATCCCATTTTAAGATGCAGAGAAAAGAAAAATCAGCTCATTATTATAATGACATTTGTATTTAAAAACAACATTTTCTAATTTATTTTAGAGTATCTTACAAGTCTCTATTAAGCACAGCAAGTTATATTAAAAAAAATTGCTCTCGGATACTATGTTCATATGAATTACAAAGAATTCCAATATGGTGAAATCAAATAGAAAATAAAATACCTGTAACCATCATGCTTTCAGTTAACATAATTGCATCAATGCTTAGAGGGAAAAAAACCCCATACCAGCTCTTGCTTGAACAGCATGAGTCTCTTTTTGTCCAAAGCGGTGTAGTTCAACCCTTTGGGCTTCTTTTCAGCAATGGTCATGAAGGCCCTAGGACACATGAAGAACGGGTTCTTTGAATGTGTTGGTTTTTTTAATGTGAGTTGCTAAAATGTATCGGAATGTTCTGTGCCTAATGCAGTACATGAACCAGAAGACAAAGATTTTGAAGTTCTTTAAAATAAATATTATGCACCTGTAAGACTCAAAGAAGAGAGTCCAAAACTTCTGCACCACACTTCACAGAAATAGATTAATATGTAGAAATTGGGGTTTATTTTGAACCAAATCATGTCATCTGACACAGAGTCAACTGGGTGATTTACACCAGCATATGGAATCCTTTGTCTTTATCTTAACATCGTCCTTTTTTTGCAGTGTGTCTATCACACACTTTATTAAATCCTACTTATTCCACATTCATTCTACTCTTAGGGTCCAGGAAGCCAAATTAATATGATAATGATTGGCAGTGATCTGTCATCAATACTGAATATTGAAAATAACAATAAAACATTTTTTCTGTTTAAGTAGAAAGTGTAATTTGGGAAGGCCTTTTCCCTTATAGCAGAATAAATAAAGTATATAACTTGGTACGTTTACTGTACTTTTTCTTAATTATCATCAATTTCCTTGTCTAGCCTTGAATTTGTAGCCAACATTAAAGGTGATTTTCTGTATTCATCTAGTATTTGCAGTTACCTGCTTTGGCTGATAAAGTCATTTAGGGTCTTCTTCATTTTTTCCTCAGCTGCAGTCTCTGAAACCTTGATCGAGTCCTTTACTTGCTCTAATGATTCTTCCTATGAAAAAACACATGAAAAAGCTGTTATGGAAAGGAGGGCACTTTGTCACTCTGCCAGTGCTGTAACACCATTAGCTATGACGAGCAAGAATGAGGGAGGTGACTTTGTAAACTGGCAGAACAGAACCTTTGATAAATCATTACACTTGAAGTGTGCAGAGAGAAGACTCCAGCAGCAGGATGTATTCTGACCTCTTCCTGGTCTTTCCAATTGCCAGACCAAGATACTACTGCTTGTAGCAGCCTTTTGTTCTCACTTCTTTGATGAAGATCAGCCAGTGGGAAACACTGTCCACTAGATAGGAGAAAAAAAGGTAGTTCTCCTTGGTTCTGTTCCAGCAAGGCATGTAGGTATTCATGTGCACTGACAAATATCTCTCTCTCTATAAATATATATTCAGAAGTTCAATTTTCAAATATCTAAGTTCAAAATGGTATCTTATAAGCCTCTGTCTTCTCGTGATACCACCTTGCGTAAGTATGACTTCAGTGTTGTTGCTCATGAAGCATTATAGAAGGATAAATATAGGATGGGACACTCTTAATCTGAGTGCCCCAAATTAAAATATTCAACATTAGAAGTCACTTAAAAAAAAGAAAAACAAACAAACAAACAAACAAACAAACAAACACAAAAAACCCCCCACAAAACAAAACCTACTTATTTGAGACTGTTGATGATCAATTTAAACAAGGGTAGAAAAAACTAACATTATGGAAAAACGCTATGACTAGAGCATCACAGTGACTGCCCATGAGATGATATGCCATTCTGTCTCTGTCAATGTTTTCAGGGAAACTAAAAGCAAAAAGTGTCCCTTAAAGAGTGCCCAGCATAAACATATGGCAAGAAGACAGAAGAAGAGCCAAGGTGAGAGCATCTCATATTTTAGTTCTTTGAATGGTTTTACAAAGAATAGAACATTTCTGAGGAAAGAAGACCCCAGCCCTACAGGCCCCCCCTATCCCTCCCCCCCACCAAAAATTGTAGACAAGAATATTTGACTGGCTCTAATAGTTCAAAGCAATTGTGGGGGGTAAAAAAAAAAGGGTTGAGATCAGCTACTTTCTCAGAAAATGAACAGCAAGGAATGCATCTAGGGGAAATTTTGAAGGCCCGATTTGGGGAATGTGGCTTCTCACTGCCATCCTTTGCTGAACATGAGCCTGGGAGGATGGTTGCCACTTACCAGGTAATCTGCCATTTTCTCAAGGGTGTTGGAGGAGTACAAACGAAAGGTCTGGTTGCCCCAGTAGCTCTTGACACAGACACAGGGCTTCCTCTCGTCGAATGGCAGGTACTGATAGTTCCTGTGGAAACAAAGTATGGAGCAGATCATGAAGGTGAGGGAGCAGTTCAAGCGGAAGCACAGAAAAGAAAAACTGTTTGGTGCTCTCACAGCACAGAAATGGAAAATACAACAGGATGTGTTCACCTGTGCTAATCAGTAAATACTGGGGAGAGCAAACACAAACATCGCTCGTGCTACCTGTGAGAACCCTGAAGAGAAAAATTTGAAGTCAGTGGATCTAATTCTCGTGCTTTCCAGAGCGGGAGAAAAGCCAGGCAAAGAGGCATGCAGAGAAGCTCTGGAATATCAGTGGTGGGAAGTCATATGGGAAAAAGGAACAAATATCTGATCACCTCTTCCAAAGGAATGGCTCCACACACTGCACAGTGGGCGAGGAAGGGCAGTCTCAACATCATGTTACTTTTACAAGATGCTCTTTTTCAGAAGCAGTAACTTGTGGAAATTGACATTCCCTGGCAGAAGCTGATCTACAAGACCCTGCTTAGTAAAAGCCATACCAAATTCATAAGAACTCAGTGATAAAATGCATCTACTGCTCTCTCTTTTCCCACTTCTGATCTTAGGTCCAAGCTATCATATTGACTGGTTTTGTAATGCTGCTTTCTTTGGGTGCATGAATATCTTGTACTGAAAAAATGAGCATGATGACAGCAGACCCAGAGTCTCTGCAGACCTGCCACAAAGCTGAATGTTCTGATTAGAGCTGTGACAGGCACTATGTCAAGGCCATGTACCCAATAAGCACGTTTTCCCCCATTTATATAAATACTATAACTTTATAAAACACATTGCTCAGCCATACTGGGCTTAATACCAGAGGTCTCACAACTTTCTGTACTAATGGTGAGACAGTGGAGAATTTTTTAATGCCTATGAATGTTTATAAACTGCTTTATGTTCTCAGATACTCCAACACATTTCAGATAGAACTGGCCATATGTGTTTGATCACTAAGCCAAGCCCACAGAAGCCAAATTTCCTGCTGCCCTTGAGCAATAACTCCTAACTTTCACACATTTTTAAGAGGTTTATGTGAGATTTTTTTCAGTTTAAAAAGATTAATATCTCCTGTACAACTTCATTTTACTGCCCTTTGTGATATCAAAAAATAGAAAGAATTTCCCATTTACTTTCTCCTCAACAATCTACAGCAAGATGAGCATTAGACATTGAATTTGGTGAATAGCAGAGCTACACAGGTCTTGGGCATCATTAATTTTTTGCTTTTGTAAAAGGGAAAAACAATTCAACCATCTCCCAGAGCCAGAACATCTTAATCTGAAATTCATAGAGATTGTGAGTTTTTAATTGGATTTACTAAGAAAATTATATAGCTATGAAATAATGCACACAGAAAACTGAACTCTCATGTCTGTTATTCCCACTATAACAATTTTGTGGAACTTTTTCAGTATAAGCTTATCCTTACTTTGACATAAATGTGGAAAATTCCTGGCAGTTTCCTGTTGTCTGCTTTAGAAGTCTTACTGTTCTGCCTGTTCCTTTTAGCAGTTAGTGGGCATAATCTCCAAAATGGACTCTTATTGGTTTCCATTGTTCATTTATGATCCTAAAAAGCAGAGTTTATCTAAACTATTGGATATCCCATTAAGTACTGATTAATACTAATACTGGTGAGATCAGTAAAATGCCATTATGAGATGACAGTCAAAAAGTCATTAATTGGTAACTATGGCTTACCAAACTGTTTTGGGAAAAAAAAAGATGCAGCATTCTACATTAATTTGAGTGAAAAGGAAATTTAATGAGAGAGAACTTTGTTAATATTGGTGTGAGCCGAGAAGCAAATATCAGAATTGAAGACTGATTCATTCTTTTACAATGGTTCTTTAAATCTAAACTCTTGTTAAAGGAAAAACTAAAAGATCCCACAGTCTCTCTCAGGAAGGATAATAGTCCTCCACATGTACCCAAATCTGCAGTTCTGTTAACGAGGAGAGGCAGCTATTGAAACGTTCTTTTTCTCCCCCTTCTCTTTGTTTACTTATTGGAGTAACAAAATTTTCTATCATGATATTTTCATTCTTATTTTCTTCCACTACCTCTTAACCCCACTGAGCCATTGATTGCAGAAAAGAAGAGAAGTGTTTTTTAAGTTCATAGATGTCCACAAATCAAACAGATCCAGGTTGATACTTCCCACCTGGTCCTTGTATCTGTAAACTGCTTGGCCTTCTAAAGAAAGAGGTACCATCTAGTCATGGCAATCAACAATATGGGGTTCTACCTACCAAAGCAACAAAGAAAATATTTCTTTTTATCAGCAGCTTTGAAATTATTTAAAGCTTTATTCTTCTGTTTATAACCAAGGCCATTTAGATCTGTTCTGCATGTTATCTCCATTGCTCTATTCTTTTTTCAAGGACTATTTCCTCCTACTTCTGTTCTTACTTGCTATTTAACTCTCTCTCTGTAATTATTAGCTCTACAAGGTGTTCTGGGAAACTGACTTTGTCTTGACCAGATTTCAATATTTTACATGTGATATTCTCCTTCTGGAGCTGATCACTGGGTGGATGTTACTTGTAATCACAGTGTGGAACCCTAAACCAGGGGTGGCACTAGAGAATTTGCATTTTTCTGTAGCTTTCCAGTGTACGGCTGGTGTCCCACAGCCCTTTTAGAAAGGGTTCAAAAGCCCATGAGGCCAAGATCAGGTGAGTATAAAATGGCTCAGCCATTCACATCAGCGGAAACTGAAAATTTACTATTGTGAAAGATGTAATCGAGGATTTGAAGACCCCAATTTCACACAAACTGCTTAATACTGCCAGGGTTCATCAACGAGTCCCACAGGACTAAAAAATAGGAACAGAATCCTTTGTGATGAGCTTTTGAAAAACAGATCCTCACCTGTTCCCACCTGTGATCAGAGGTTTCTCAGGGAGTGTGGTAGATATCAGGGGTACTCCAAGGTCATGAGAAATGTCATCCCCCCCCTCATGCAGAAGGCCTTCTTCTGCTTCTCCATCACGTGTCTTCTTCTTCCCTCCAGCTCCTGCTGACACCCCATCTGTAATATTTCCAAAGTTACCTAGAGGAACAGGGTTACAAGAGATGAGTGTCTTGGAGGTGCTAAATATGAATGAGGTTTAAAAAAAGAAAAAGACCAGTCATACGAATGGAAAACCTTTGACCCCTCCTGTTCATTGGCTGTTCTGGCCATACCACAGTTCACAAAGGTCCTGGCCTATTATGTTTGATGCCAGTAACATCAGACTCCAGGACAATGCTTCCTTACTTGCCCTATGTGATACTTCTAGTATATCACATTACTAAGAGATGTGACCCTCTGATTGCTGGCTTTGCTAAAGAAATTCAGAAACAAAACCAATACTGCTGCTGACATTTCTAGTCTCAGGAGCCCTGATATGGGATTGATTTACATAGAAAATGTAAGTCTTCTTTACAACATATTGATGATCATTCCAAAGTCTGATCTCAGAAGTGGTAAAACTCATTTTCAGACAAGTACGTTTTGCATACTGGAGTTGCACAGATAGTAATAACAATGCTTTGAGGCCCCAGCTTCAAGCCTAGTGCCAGACAACTCTGCTAATGATACAGTCATCTTCCCTGATAGGATTTTGCCTTAAAGGGCAATTATCAGCACTAGGAAAGAGATGCATCCATCAAACTGATAACTACAGATTTTAAGAGAGACAGGGAGAAAACATTCCCTACAGGAGAAGGATGTGCTGAATGACATCCTGATCTGGACTTTTGGTTCAGTCTTTCATGTAAATAATGTATTAATTCTGACAAGAATCACTATAATTTCTTTCCAAAATATACAAATGAGTTTCTTGTGATCCTCAGCTCTGCTTCCTGCTACATTTCAGCAGGAATCAGTATCACTCATTGTTTGCTGTTTGTCACAGGCATCTCTCCCTGCACACATGGCCTTACAGCTGAGCACAGTCATGTACACAAGCACAAAGACAGGAAATGTCAGGGTACTTCTCTGCCCTTAACTCTTCGTGGGTCTGGTACAGAAATAAACCCCTGCAAGGGAAAGGAGATCAAGCGTCTCTCTTAAGAGAAATTTCTTTTGCTTTGAAAATATCCACCCACTGTTCATGAAAATGTCTTCATTTTCTCTGCTCCTAGGGACAACTTAGCTCCACCATGAGGAGATCCCTCAGGCAGTACAGTCCTGCTTTACACTGGAGGAGGACAGGACTTACCAGGAGGATCAGGAGGACAAGCTGTGCATGCATTTTGAGGCTTGCCTGCAAATCACCCCCATGCCACACTCACAGACTCACATGTAGCTCAGTGGGGTTGGCCAAGACAGTTCCCAAAGGGTTCTCTCACAGCTGGGGACTAACTGCAATGGACACCACAGAATGAACTCTGCCCTGAAGTAAATTATCTGAGTTTGGTCTCCTAAGAGATTAAGAGGCTAAATACTGGCTAAGTTGCTGTATAAAGTGGGTGAGTGGATTTGCATTAATACAAGGCATCTGGGAATAGAAATAGCAGGAAAACAGTATGCCCAGCTTGACTGCTATCTAGAAAAATTATGATCAGGGTTTAACTCAAATGTCAGCTCTACTCTGAAGATGATTCCTGTGACACAGCTATCCATAACACCTCTCATCCCCTTGCTCCTGAGTCTCCTCTCTGCTTTGGAAAAGATGTTAATAAACTTACCCACGGAAACCTCAAAAGTTATTGGTTTGTCCCCAACCTTCCTATCAATCATTGTGACTTCAAAAAATGTCCCAAAGAGAAGGAATTCTTCAAATTTTTCTTCATAAATCTATTGGAGAAGAAGGAGGAAAAATTGACAGTTTATTTTACTTTCTACTCTTTTTTTTTTTTTTTTTTTTACAGCACAAAGAAGTCTTTATAAATCTCAAGCAGTTGTGTTACTATCATAGATTTATCAGTCTGAGGCGATCAGTGAGGCACATTTTGTGGGAAGAAGTAATAGCTCTACTCTGAGAAAATATGTATGTGTGACTTTGGTCTTGTCAATAGAGCCAAATTATAGCATAACTGATTATGTAAAAGCCATTACCCCTCACTTCATACTCTGCCCCACCAGTAGTTGCTGTTTAAATTATTTCAGCATCTTCATATACTCTTATCCCACCATTCAAACGATACACCTATCAAGGTTCAAGGGCAGTTTAAGGGCACTCTTTTAGTACAACAGCAACAGGTGAGTGAGGCCATAGTTCTCCTTTGCATTGCAGCAGGAAATGCTGCCATTGTAATGCATCCAGTTCCACTTGTCTCCTGGATGTCTTTAGGCTACTGCCCATATGTTTGTACTATCAAGACTTCGACCTTTCTCAAAGTCAAGACTTTGACATTTATCTCCCAATGACAACAGTAGATACAAAAATTTTTAGTGTCCACATTTAGATGGCAGCTGTATGCCAAAGCCTACTGAAACAAAGCAGTCCACGGTGGGTTTTTTACCCTGCTGTGTTTTAAACCTCAGGCCCAAAGCTGGGGGGGTCTCAGTGGCTGGGGAAAGGAGGATGGTGGTGAGCAGTTCTCTGCTCTTTGCCTTTCCTGGCATCACAGCACAGAAACCAGTAACCAAGTAATATTATTTTCAGCTTTTGACAGAATGTGGAAGCACAGAGACCAGAGGGTCTCAACATAGCAACACACCCTGAAAAGTGTAATGGTCTTCTGTGAAGTTTTAAGGCTCTGCTAGATTCTGTTTGCACCTATCAGAGACCCAGAATCTGCTTGTCCCTGGTACAGACTCTCACTCAAGGAAGGCCATCTCTGACACCCTTGGATCAGTAACAAAACAAGCTGTTAGCCCCAAACCAAGACTAAGTTCAAAGGAGATATGTTTTATGGCAGTTCTCCCCAAATTTACACCCTGACTGCCATGATCTTTCGCATGCAAAACTCTACTCATTCCACAGCATGGACACCAGAAAACTGAAGCCTATTAGGCAAGATCCTTCTGCTACAGGGTGAGGTGAGAATAAAATATCAGCTGTACATGAATATTTCTTTCCTTAACTTCTGCAAAGCAGAAACAGCTCTTGACACAGCCCATGATTTCTCCATTTTGAAAAACCTCTGTTTTACCCAGTAAAAGGGCATAGGTCTTTGGTGAAAGGATTACCAGCATCATATATCAAAGCCAACACCACAAACAGATTGCAGCTCCAGAGTAATTTTATCTTCTCTGCCCCTTGTTTATTTCCACCATGAAACCTGGAGCATCAGATGCCTAATAAAGCCAAGGCTCAGAGACTACGACACACACATCTATCTCCCATTGCAAAGAAAACAAATTGCAAATGTTGGATATCTTCTTTGCTGCTGGAATAGGTCAATAAACTTGTGCTGTGGGGATGGATAATTTGCCTCTGATGTCTCGGAGGCTCTGTGAGACATTTTTTGCTTTATATGTAATGTCTCCAGTTCTTGCTTTTCCTTTCAGAGAATTGTAATACAATTATTGTGTCTACTGTAGCATGAAATATTGCTGAATGTCAAAACTAAAAGAATATCAAGCATCACTGTATCATGGTGTTGCCCTTTATTCATTCTGTATTTGAAATGGAGACACAGTATGAAGAAATAAATCCTTCTTACTACTATTAATGTTTGTTAGTATTACTGCAGGGTTTGTTCCTCTACCTGGAGTATTTTTCTAGGGTCTAATACAGCTACTCACAATAATGTATTTCTTCCATATAAAGTAAAATCTATATGGAAATAAATGTCTTCTAATCTCACCTCTATTACAGTCTTCAGAGAAGAACTGAGGGACAGAGGCAATTTACACCTATATGAGTATATAAAGCAAGACCAGGACGTAAGTTCACACAACTGGGTTGCAGTTAACCTGTGCCATTTCTCTACTAACACACTCCTTGACTTGCTGCAGTCAGCACTCATGCCAAAGATTCCAGAGCATAGGCCAAGAAAGAACACTTCTCAAGGCTAGGCCTCAAAATGAAAGAACAATTGTTTCTCTTCTATTTACTTGTGGAGATGGAGTTGAAAGACCGAGAATCACATCTAGTAAAGAACACAAGTATTTTAAGAACTGAGCTGGGACTCCCACTACAGAAGCCAAAGTTTTGATCAATGGCATAGAATCATAGAATCATTAAGGCTGGAAAAGACCTCCAAGGTAATTAAGTCCAACCTTCAACCGAACCAGCATGCCCAATAAGCCACATCACAAAATGAGACATCTACTCAGTTTTTGAACACTTCTGGGGATGGTGACTCTACCACTTCCCTGGGAAACCTGTTCTAATGTTTAGTCATTCTTTCAGTGAAGACATTTTTCCTGGTATACAAGCTGAACCTCCCCTGGTGCAACTTGATGCCATTTCCCCTTGTCCCATCATCAGTTACCTCAGAGAAGAGGCCCCACCTTGCCACAACTTCCTTTCAGGTGGTTCTGGTAGACATATTGAAGTGGGAGGAAAATTGGTTATGAGAATATTTTTTCCTATTTACTGCGTTAAAATAAAAATAAAAATAAAAATAAATAATAGCTTGCATATGCACCAATGCTGCTCCCAGAAAGTTATGGTTGAAACTGAGCATATAATTTTCAGTAAATCTCTCTTAAGGAGATCATCGATCTAATACCACACTGGCAACACAGAGTTAAAGGAGGAGAGCAAAACAAGCTAGACTGTATCTATCTCTCTGCACTTATAAAAAATCTGTGTCACTTATTCCCTCCTGACTTCAATTGAGAAGTACCGATTTTCTCGAATGAATGCAGGAAATCAGACTTTATAAGTACCAGCTGCCCCTGTTGGTTCTCTGTCATTTAGCAGATACTGCATCATGTAAGTTTCTGGTGGGGATCTGTGGATGCAGCTAGTGCAAAAGGGGCAATAGGACAGGAGACCTAAGTTTTAGAGATTTTTAGAGACAACAAGACCTACTTAAGAGTTTTTTGAGTTACAGGTAGATATTAATGCTCCATTTGTGCTGGACTATTATGGGAAGGTCTCAAGACCATGGGGACATGGAGAGGCTGTAGGAAGCAGAAAAAGTAGTATTATATGGCCTGAACCCAACATACATACCAATGCCATCCTTGGAGGTTTAGGGACACATGACAACCAATCTCTTAATATCATACTGACCTCTAAAGGTACATCAAACGGCTCGACTTCCACTTCAGTTGAGTTCATTTTACTTGAAGGAGCAGCTGACTTTCGATCATCTCCTGCTTTGTCAGTTTTGTCTTTTCCTTTGGGTCCTTTGAAGTCTTTACCTTTGGATGACAACTTGATATCCTTGATAATACTTGAAAACTTCGACTCTCGGGCACCTCCTGAAAGTATTTCCACAGCAATCTCAATGAAGAGACGTCCCCTGAAGGAAACCCCTTCTCCAAAACCTTCATTAAGCTCCTGGTGGTCATCAATGAGGCTGTGGTTCCGGGGTGAGCCGTAGAGATTGATCCAGGCAGGCCCAAAGGTAGGCAAAAACCCTGGAGACAAAGTACCTTTCATGGCATTTCTGTTAGGTGTTGGCATGCTCTCCTCACTGTCTGCTCCAAGAAATCTTGCCTCTTGCGCACCAAACGTCAAACGTGGACCCATTTCTGTGCAGTGGGGACCACTTCATACAGAGCACTGTTTTGCCTCTGCCAATACCCAACCTGGGATTGTGCTGGTCTGGAGCTCTTTCTCACAAGGTGCTTGTACTGCACATGTTGGATCAGGAGGTTTATTGCATCTCTTGAATAAAAGAGCTTGCTGCTATAGACTAAGGGCTGGGACATGGTGGGAGAGTAATAAGGCTTTCTCTTTTAGGCTAAAATATTTCAAAGTCCATGTCACTTCTCAGCTTATATGAATTTTTCTTTTATTTTCTAATTAGGGACTTGGATGCACATTTGAATTGGCAGGTTTGAGGAGTTACTGTGCCTTTGCTGAGCTGTCATAACTGACCATGTTCCACACAGAGATGACACAACATAAACAAGGTTATACATGCAGACTCAAACATGGGTGAAAAGACTTCAGGTCATGAGCCTCACCTCACACAGGTGCAGACAACACACTAGTCCATGGTACTTCCTTGGGCTGTGACAGCACCCAGCTGAGCGTTATCTAAACACTTTGCTCTTACTGGGTACAGCAAAAACACAAGCCTGCTCTGCAGGTGATTTTCAGGTTTTGTGTTTATTGCCCAACAGAAAGTCACATGAACTACAAAATTACATCAGTCATCCTTAATGGACTAGAGTAGACTATTGCCACAGTCACAAAGAAGGTACCAAATTATGCAGCAACCCTTTAACAAGAAAGACAGTGTCAGACCACCACACACTGAGCACAATGTAATATGATGTCACATTAAGCAACAGAAGGTCTCTCAGAACCAACACTTGAGCTCTGGAGATTCCTAAAATGGGATTAGCCAGTGCCCAGTTCCCATGCAAGTAGATTTTACCTTAGGGGCATAATCTTGGAACATTTTCACCTTTACCTTTGTCACCATCTTGTTCATTTGATATTTTCTTCAAATCAATGAAGTGTGTTGCTAAAGCCACATCATTCATGCTACCTTCATCCCAGACCTGGATTTTGACTCTTCGGCAGAGTGGGGGGAACATTTCCTTGAAGATAATCTGTTCCTGCCACACTGGATCTGCACAGCTCTTTTGCACTGTTGTCCGGCCCTGAAATGAAAGCCCAGCAATCTCAAATCCCAGAGGGATTGAAGTCTGGAGAATGGCAATGAGTATAGCACAAATTGCACTTAGCAATATCTCTCTAGAAATTTTTAAAGCACAAATGCCCTATCTTGAAAGTACTTTGGCTTTTCTATTAGACTGTTTATTTTACCCTCCATATCTAATAAAAGATAACATTATTGCTAAAGAATTCTTACCTGCACAGCAGAGCCTGGAACAAAATCTAACGCTTCAGGGCCCCTTTGCACAAAATACATCTGTAAAGCCAGATTTTGGCATTCCTGCTGCAAATTGCATATTTTCAAATGGCTTTTGAAATATCTGGGCAGTGGTGATGCAGCGCAGCTTGTCTCATAAAAGATTAAATTCATTAATTCTGCCAGGCTGCATGTACCAATGGGATTACCCTAAATGAGGCAGTTTATCTAGCAAAAAATCTAGCAATTTATCTGGCTCACATTCTGGGCACAAGCCTGTGTGCTAGAGGTGTAGGTTCCAGAGCTATTCCTCCTAATCTGAAGATGTCAGGGTTGTATCATAGTCCATGCAGTTGCTGGCTGTGGTAGAACTTCTACTTTCAGTGGGGAGAACTAGTCAGGAAACTCACCAACACTCCCTCTGAAACCATAGTTTATACACCAGTGCAAACTCACATCAGTGACCCATTCTTATGTCTTCTTCAGTCCTCTACTGAACCTGAAGGTTTCATGCATTTGAATGTTTTAACCACACCACTTTGAGAACTAACATCTTGCAATTTGGATTTACAACAAAACATGAAATCAGCACCAAAAGCCTTTTTCTCATGCCTGAAACATCTGGAAAGGACTGACTGGAGCTGTCTCTAAGGCTTCCTTGCACACAGAAAGCATTTGCTGGCTTAAAATAATTGCCAGTTTGATTCTTTCCTTATTTACACCAATAATCAAGACTCCCTGAGATATGTCTCATGGATGTACCCCAGAGGAACCAAGCCCCTGGACCTCCTCTACACTCCTTTTCCACCAAAGTCAGAAGGTCCTCTCAGGAATCACACCATGTTTGATGTTGAAGTTGCTCTGGGAGCAATTAAGCCAGGCGGTCCTGAGATAGTCTGCTACGATGCTTACTCTACCCACAAAGGGCTGCAAGGGTCCTGAATTTCAGCAGAGTAATTCAGAAATCAACACACAGCCCTAAAATCCAGACTGAACCATCCTGACTGATTTCAGCTCTGCCTCCTTATTTCACTCTAGGGAGACCAGAACATAGCACTTACCGAATATCATGCTGGGTAAATCACTGTCTTATAACTTGAGGTTTTAGTTACAGTACTATAGAATCCTCTTTCCCCTCCTGCTGCCTGCCTCAACCCTACTGCTGTGAGGCTGATATTAGATCTGCTGGCATTAAGTGTCTCCATACCTTTATTCCTGCATAATTTAAGAACTGAAAATTTTCTGATGACAAAAATATGTGTTTTACTTAATTTATGTAACTATAAGTTAAAGGACATCAACATAATCACCTGCCTGTAGCACAGCTAATAGGAAAGAAGGCCTACTTTTGTGATCAAGAGGATCCCAATTACCATTTGACCTGCAAACATGACCACCACATAGGGATCCACAAGGTCCTTACTGTCGCCTATGAATGCTTTGGTGACATTGGCCATGATGCTAGAGTTCATCTTCGGAAGTCCTTCTGCTTTGTAAATTCTCACATAAAATCTGGCCCATGGTCTTTCAGATGGAAAGCCTTTGGGGATCAAGAGGTTTCTGAAAGAAAAAAAAAAGAAGCTGTTTTCTTAAAATTGAAAATTCAGACACTGAAGTGATCTTTATTCCAACAGTACTGTCACCTCAAATTAGAGTGCATCCTGAGAAGACACAAAAAGGTGTATGAATTTGCTTTTGCATCTAAATCAAATAAATTCTGGTTACAATGAGGAAATGATATAGCATTACTCAACAAACTTGTCTTTGTGATATAGAATCATGTCCAGTTAGACTGTTCGGGACCTTGTGCCTCTCTCTTTAGGTCCCTGTTACACATGACCATCCTCATGGTAGAAAATCTTTCCTGAAATTCCCTTGTTCTAACCTGCATCCGAAGCCTCTTGTTCTTCTACCGCATTCATCTGAAAAGCGCCCTCTTCATGCAGGATACCCCTTAGACTTCTCTTCTAAATGCTCGAGAAACCAACACCCACCACTGTCCCCTGTAAACCATTAGCATAGAGAGCTCCAGCTCTTCATCATCTTGGTGGCTCTCCATAGAATCATAGAATCAGCCAGGTTGGAAAGGACCTCTGAGATCATCAAGTCCAACCCTTAATAGACTTGGTCCCTTATGTCAGCACTGACCAGAAGCATTGCCCCAGTAAAAAAGTATGTTGGTAGCATATTTACCACATTGAACTTCTGTGTTTTATGAGGAGAATGATAATGCTCTCGAGTTTATCTACGGATATGGAAAATATCCACACATACATATCTGATAGTGGTGAAGGAATAGTTTTTCCTTGTAGTTTTTTTTCTTCTTAGTTTGCTGCTTTAAGAAATCTTCAACTGGTTTCAGATCAATGAACCTTCTGTCAGAGATAATTTGAAACTTAGCCATGGGACTTGGCCGAGTCTATCAGCTGCAGAGAAGTGACCCTAACAAGCCTTTCAATTTAGTCGAGAGGATTGTAAAAACTCTTTTTGAGCACATCAGAACAGCCAAGTGTACAATGCTATCCTCCTAGTAATGCTAAGTTAACAAGGAAAGGACAGAAGGAAGGGCAGAGGACATACTGAGGCATCTAGTAAAGAAGAAAGCAGGTTAAAAAGCCCAAGAAACTATTGCAGTACTTTTCAATCTGCTCCTCAGTATCAGCTGTTTTCTGTGTAGCTTGTATTGCATCACCTTTCCCAGTCACACTGATGTCACACTTCAGGTATCCCTTGGCTCCTGTTCTAATGTCAGCAGGGTCTGTGAGAAGTGCCCACTTGTCACAAAACTGATGACCTGTAAGAAGGACAAACTTAAACACTCATACAGAGGATGCAAAAAAGATGCAAATATTTTCCTCTTCACTCCCAGAAAGGGCACATCAAACAACATTTGTTCTTCCAGAAGGATTGTGCTTGTTCATCAGACACAGCTAGAGGGTCCAAAATGTTATGTGACAAAAAAGTCAAACACAGCATTGATCCAGAGCTCATCAGAAAAAAGATCATTTTCATCCATGTTTACTGAGATCATTGACTAAAGACCAGTGGAAGGTCGGGCGGTATTTCAGCAGCTGATGATCACAGAACTCTGCAGCAGCAGAACCCTTTCTGGGAGCTGTGGCCAGGTGTAACACTGCAGACAGCTAAGAAACAGAAGAAAGAGAGTGGACAGCCACCAGAGGAAGAAGTAGCCAGGAGCAGGTTCAGCTCCATCTTTCAAGTGGGAAAATGCACATGACAATTCACCCACAACAGCCCTTGATGTAGCCCTGCTTCAACAACTCCCTTGAGAAAGGTCCTAACATAAAACATTAAGTTCTTGGACATCACCCTGGGTGTGTAGAGGAGTGGGAAGGAGAGACCAGAGCACCAGGGATATGAGCTCAAGATCAACCCTCAGAAACCACCCTCCTGCAAAAGTGTGAACAGGAGATACAGGGCAGAGACTAACACAGTCTGAGTACAGACTGAGTAAGCCACTCATTTCAGATAGGCGATTCCTCTCTAGTAACTCTTGCAGGAGCCCTGAAGAAAGGGTGTCCTGAATAACTCACACTTTTGTCATACCTGTGTGACATGTACAGCAAGTGGCCTAAATGCCTTTTTTCCCAAGGACCAAGAGACCAGATCCTTGAGTAATTATGGAAGAGGTACATTTTTTGTGAATGTTTTGGTTGTAAAACACACCAAAAAAAGGGGTAGGTGATCTTTTCTTAGCTTCAAATTTCAAAAAGCACTGGACAGCTCTGAAGATGACAAGCCAAGATGACCCATGGTCACCTCTTTGTCATCTTCACTCTCCTGTTCTTGTCTCCTCCTCCTCTTGTTTCATGCTCTCCTCACTATTCCTTTTACTCTCCATCCTGCTCTCCCTCCCCCCACTCCTTCTACCCCAACACACATGACAGAGCTTTGAATGCTCTACAGCAAATGAGTGGACCTGGGTTTTGTAGAACTGCCCACTCTGACCAGTTAAAGAAAAGCCATCCTTAATAAGTGCTTCCCACCAATGAGCAGGTTGGCAAGGTGTATTCAGTGCTGAACTTTTTCCCAGCAGTTTGGCTGCTATCCAAATTTGAACACAACGCTTTCAAAAACTTTTAAGTCTATCCCTTCACATAAGCCACAAGCGTTTAAGCAGAGAAGTTGCACATCTCCCCCTCTTCCCTGCTTCACATCTCATTTAACAGACAAAATGGGTAGAAAATGCACCACTTACCTGGCTGACTGTACACTGTCCCCAGATCTACTTTAAAGGAGCCTATCAGCACACTCCCAATCAGTTTGTTGTGCATAACCTGATAAAAAGGTTAAAAAATGGTTAAAGAATGTCACTACCTCTCTTCCCAGTCATCATAAGAAAAAGTAGCCCAGACAAAGATCACATTTGGTTCAGAGGTAATGAGCAGCAACATCCAGCACCACCCAAAACTGGGGACACATGGACACAGAAGGTACAGAAAGCATTTGAAATATTTTCCCTACCCAATATTGTGCCAATTTAGAAAACAATATAGTTGCATCTAAGCAGAATCACACAGGTTCATCCCAGGTCCTAGGCTTACATAAAGCAGCAATTAGATGGATGTGTCTTCAGAGGAGACGCAGTTATAGTACTTACTCTGGCAGTTTTAAATAAATCATAACGAATGTAAACACACAGGACATAACTGGTCTCACACTAGGCTGCAGAAATCTTATCGCTTTCTGTGCAATAGCTGAATTGCCATAAGAACTGAGTACACTCAGAGGACAAAGAATTGCAGTGTTTCTTTGCAACATTTCAATGTGCACATAAACCAAGAGACTCACTTCTGATTTACCCCCTACAACACTAATGAGATCAGAGGAGTAATACAGATGTAAATGAGATGGCAAGCAGGCCCCAGCAAGTCTGTCTCCTTATTCTTCCTGCCAAGTAATGAATTTAATTTCATTTAATTCAAATTTAATTAATAATTTCCAATTACCATGATTCCCAGATCTATTTATTTCCCTGTCTGGTGTTCAGATACTTGTATGTGGCTTACTTCACAAATAAGGCAGAGGCTAGAACTGCATTTCTCAAAAAATGTATCTCACCTGCTTTCAGAATAGCTTAAAAGGTTGAAACCTATTTCTTGGCTGTGGAAAAGCCTCTGAAAGCAGGATGAATTTTCTGGAATACCTTGACCAAATTACAACGAGAAACTAAGTCCATTCAAGTCCACAGAAGATAAATCTAGACGTCAGAAGTACACAACTAAAGCACTGACGGCATTTTAGGAATCTGGAAGACCTCATACCCTCTCTTTGGGCCTATACATCCTGGATAGGGATACAAGAGTTCTGCAGTTTTGCACTGGATTTGTAATGTGACTTTATTTTGGGTACTTCTCAAATGTGGAGACATGCATTTCAAAGTAAAGATCACCGATGCCTTCATCAAGATTCAGCAGAAAATTCAGGAGGTTTCTAGTTGCAGTATAATGTCATTCTCTGTTAAGGGCCTGGGGCTGCTGTGCCTCTGCAGTTTAGGGAACACACTCAGTTGTCCTTGGTAATTCCTCACTTCAAAAGTATTTCAGTATGGGAGATGCAGGTTTAGCATGAAAGGGACACCTCTGTTTTACTATGGCATTATTACAAGCCTGCTGGTATACACTGCTGGATAATAAAGAAGAAAAAAAATCTACTAATTAGCAGGTGCTGATAAATCGAAAGTCTCATTTTCCTCTCAAATGCAGGGTTTGAATACAGCTACACTAACTGCTGAACTGATGGACAAGGGCACTTATCTCTTTTGTTTTCCTTGAGCTTCCATATGCAGATAAGTTCATTTGTACAAATTAAGCAAATTCACTGCATGAATGATTTCTGATAATGGAGGCTGCCAATCTTTATTTCTCCTTAAGTGAGATTCATGTTAAGCAAGTGCTGTGAAACTTTCAATCCCTCAGGGTTTCCTTCACTGCCAGCACACACATTTCCTCTCTTCGTTTCTATTCCCCTGATAGATTGCGTTCTCCAAAACTGTGTTGCAGGGTAATGAATCTCTGTTTTCAGTAGTGTACGTAAGCACTGCACTGGCTTACTTTGTTGTTGTTTGTGGGGGGTTTTTTAAAGTCATTTTTATCTAGAGGTCCTTTAATTTCTTAGTGCTGCACCTTCACCAGCCATAAATCAAATAAGTTTGCTGAGCCTAATGAAACTATGCAGATATACAGCAGATAAAGGTGACATGTTTTCCCACATCCCCAATTCACTCAGAAAGCTGGCACTCTCCCCTCCACCACTGGATATATCGAATCTTTATCAAAAGAATGTGAGATTGGAAAGACTGGCCATATCTTGGAGAAAAATAACCACACATGGCCGAACAGCAGCAGCAGCAGCACACAGGAGCTGATGCCTTGGCACTGTGCTGATATGAACCACGTCAGAAACACATATAGGGGCCATACACTGGGATGTGAGTCATAGCAGCAAGGAGATATCTGCTCCCATGCAAAATATGAGTCATTATCAGCCTGTGGTAAATTCTATCCTCAAAGATAAGAGATCTGATCTGTAGATACATTCTGTATGAACTTCATACATGTGAGTTGTACATGTAATACAGGGGCTTTCAAGTGAACCTTAGGATTCAGACTGTCAATTTACAACTAGCATTGAAAACCTAGTTGTCCAGCTGGCCACGTGCAAATGAACACTTTTTATTCTGTAGGGAAAATTCGCTCCATTTGCAGCTCAGAAAGGCAAGTATAAGATGTACCCTATGGCTCCCGACCAGTGCTTGTCTCTGTTAAGCACAACCAGCAGAGACCCTTTTCTAGTGTATATTTTTGAAATGGACAAAGCATTTCAGAGACAAATAACCTTTCCTCAAGCAACAACTCACTGTTTATTTGCAGAGAAATCTCTGACAAAGTGGATGAACTTTGGGGAAAACAAACAAACAAACAAAAAAACCAAAAAACCACACACCAGTTCATGAAGGGCATAGCCCGTGGTATTTCTAAATAATACAAATACAGCATTGTCCAGAGTCTCATGAGATCGTTAGTTCCTTAGCAACCTTGCTAAATGTAGTGATGAGTCTCAGACAGGATAATTAGCATGGCTCCATAGACTTGGATTTCCAAACTGCATATCATTATCTAATGCCCCAAGTCAAAGAGCATACATGTATTCCATCAGGACTGTTCTGAGATGTCACAGAATCATGGAATCAGTGGATTTGGAAAATACCTTTATGATCATCAAGTCCAGCTGTTAACCAGCACTGCCAGGTTCACCTCTAAACCATGTCCTCAGGTGCATCTGCAAATCTTTTCAATACCTCCAGGGATGGTGACTCAACCACTTCCCTGGGCAGCCTGTTCCAAAATCTGACCTCCCTTTCAGTGTATATACTTTTTCTAATATCCTCCCCTGACAACACTGATGCCATTTCCTCTTGTCCTATCACTTATAACTTGGGAGGAAAGACTGAACCCCACCTGTCTATAACCTCCTTTCAGGTAACTGTAGAGAGCAATAAGGTCCCTCCATAATTTTGCTGGAGCCTCACTTGCAGTGAGCAGTGGAAGCAGCACTGAACACTTGGAGAACACTCGGATGCTGAGAGCAGCCAGCCACTGGCAATCCCAGACAGCCCAAGAGCCACTAGTGAGGATAAAGTACCTGGACTAGTTTAGGTAGAAACAGCCCTATCTGAGGAACTGAGATAAGCCAGACATTTCAACTCAGTTATTTGAATGAAGTGGCAGCTTGAAAACTAGAGGGATGAAGACAGTGCTAGCAAAAGTGAGCTAAGCTGAATTTTCTCATTACACCTTGTCGATTGCCAAGCCAGCAATGAGTGTCTCTGAAAAGGCAGACTAAATCTTCCTTTAGAGTTATGTTCCTTCAAATCACTGCCAGCTGCTTCTCCTCTTTTTCCTCTCCTCTATCCTTTCTCTTTCCCCCACTACATGCTGACTTTATAGCACTCTTGGTACCTAAAATTATTTCTGGTTTGAATTACATTAAGAATCATTCAGAACCAAAGTGACAAAAACAATGACCTTTGTCAGGGGTGGACCAGAAGAGGCCTACAGAGAGCGGAGAGAGATGCAGAAAAGCTGCAAGGAAGGCTCAGAAGAAAGGATCTATTTAGAAGACTTCTAGCAACTTTAGCTGTGCAGAACTGCTTGGGACCCAGCTACAAGGCTGCAGCCTTGCAGCTTCAGCAGATTCCCCTGTCCGTGCACCCAGAACAGTCCTTCCATTATTCTCCTAGCTCTCCCTTCCCCCTAAGTGACCTGACATATCCCTTTAGCCTATCCCTCCAAGTTCCCATATCAGTAGCTCTCAGGATTTGATGTTCCTAGCCGGGGTTCCACCTTATTCCCGAACTTTCTGTATTCCCCTGTATAAAAGCTGTCTTCTTGTTTTAATAAACTGCCATTTTGTGGGTCATCCTCTGCGTGACTCGTCTCCCATACAAAATGTGCCACTGGGTCTTGTAGCGTGACCCCCGTAACCCACGATAGACCTTTATTTACTGTGCTAAGCTTTCCCAGGTACTTACAGAGATGTTGATTATTTTGTCGAACAGCAACACCTGTGGTCCAACGAAATCGAACACAAAGTACTGTGGGAAAAGGTGACAGCAGGTCAGAATCATCCTTGTGACGGCAGCCAGTGCAGTCAGCTGAATGGTTCAGCTCTTTGGGTTACCACACAGAGCCCCAGTCAGACACTGAGTGTGCTGGGGAGGCACTGGTGGATGCAGCAAAACCCTCTCCTTGCCTCCAGCTCGTGTCTGCTGTGGCCCAGACTAGAGGGTATTGTCAAAGGGACAGGAGGTACAAGGAAATCCAAAGGAGCTGTTGGTTTTGGGGGTTGTTTTGCTCTTGTTTGTCACCAGCTGCATCAAGCATCTGTGAAGGAAAGGCTGAAACAGTGAAATAATAGGAAGGGGAATGAGGGTTTGGGGGTGGGGTGGGGTGTGATGGGGTGAGCAGCACTATAGACCAAGCTCCCAAGTAGATCATTTGAAAAACTGCAGCAGCAGTGGGAGTAGAGCAGAATGAATTGGAGAGGGTGAGGAACAGGATGGACAGAGTTTGAGAAGAAAGAGCAAACAGAACTAAACCCAACAGAGCTGTTGCTGGTGCTTGACCCCCTGGACAGACCTCTCACCTCAGACATGTGGGTGCTACAAACTTAATTCATCCCCTTTTGACCTACTAAATAACAGACTACACCCAGAGCCACTGAAGAAAGTATATTCTTTAAGGGAAAGCACCTACCTCATTGTAGAAAGGGGCGTTTGTGCCTTCCTTTACTGTTGTTTGCTTTTTCTCATCACCTATCTCAATGATCACCACAGGGTCGATGTTCTCACCCACCAGCTGCCTGGCCTCAATGATGGTGATGGCAATCTGTGGGGCACAAGGATACCAGGCACACTCCTGGGCTCAGGTACAGCCTGCCTGAGGAATTCAGAGGCACTTAAGGGCCACCACTCCCTGCTCACCTGATAGTTCTGGGATTTCAGCTCCTCTTCATGAATTCTAGTCACCAGCTTTGCCCTATTTAAATGACAAAACAGGTCATTAGCCATGTCTAGGCACGAGCTGGTACTTGGACACATGTTGGAAAGACTTCTGGACACTAAGCTAGTATTGTTTATGACAGGTAGCTTTGTTGTGAACTGTTAGGCTTGATTTCAGCAGCAGAGACCACCTCTGTTCTCATAAACTTGTTAATAGGGAAATGTTTGGCATCCACACAAACCAGTGCAGCTGCCTGCCATGCATGGGAGTGATTTCACTTGCTGATCCCATCAAACCTGACCCCATTCCTCCCCTGGATGAAAAAACAACTACACAAGCTCTTTGCTATAGAGATTGCTGCTCCCTCTGGCTTGTTTTCTTTAGCAGAGTTCATTAGCACAGTTGAGGCACTCACAGGATCCGCTTCAACCTCTCCCTGCACTGAACAGCATCTGTTGATATCTTTGAGCTGACAGTATTTTGCTGACACGTACATCCCACTCTGTCATGTGGGGCAGCAGCAGTAAAGCGATCACTGCTATCTGTAAATGGATTATCTGTCAGCAGATGTATTGTCCTAGGGCAATGCCATTCCCCAGAAGGATGGAAAAGGTGTTTTGAGGAATATTAGATGAGATACACGAAAGAGCACCTTTTCCTATTTGGACTTAGGGATCCAAAAACATTGGACAGGGCATCGCTGTTCATTGGATCTTCCTCTCCCTCTTCTCTTCTTCCGAGATTGTCATGGAGAAGAATTGCACTTTCATCATGATCACCTGGTGAAGAAAACAAACAAGAAAGTAAAACCCACATCTGATTTCTTCTAGCAAAAAGGGTCATGTGGAGCAGAGCAGGGGATTTATCAGCATGAACTGAATATTTTATTTTTGGTGGGGGTGTCCCAATTAGAGATACAATGGTGGTTTGTATTGAGCAGCACTGATTACAGTAGCAGCTCCCCTCCTGTGCAAACCACCAGGCAGGTACAGACAGGCACAACTTTGCTTCTGTTGCAAGGCAGCCAGGCACAAGCCAGCTCCACAAAGGTTCCTTCCCCAGCAGTCTCATACAACATCTATGCTCCCCAGCTGTCCTCTGACCCTTGTCCAGCCTTCCTAGAATACAGGGAAGGTCAAATTGTCTCTGCATCAGTGTAGGCATAGCCTGGTTTTCAATCCCTGAGGGAAAGGCCGTAGTTTTGCACCTGTAGCACCAAGTTCCCATGACTGCCCTCCATATCCTATTTACCCTAGAGCACACTGTTTGATTATGGGCTTGCATTAGCCTGTATTGTTTGCTCTGAGGCTAAAGCAGATAAAACTTCTCCCCAGCTGGGAGGAATGTCTTGTAATTTAGTAAGGAAGTGGTCTTTAGTTTTCTCTACTCCAACAACCCAAATATCTTGCTCTAAGGACCAGGGGATAAACTTTTAAAAAGTAGTGCCTTTTAGCTTAATAATGCATACTGCACAAAATAGGCATTCTTGTTTCTGACACTTGTGGTTTATTACAACACTGTACTTCAAGGGCTGCAAAAATAGTTTGTGAGACTACAAAAATAAAACTACTGAAGGTGAAGTCTTTTTTGTTGTTGAACTACAGGTCTTGGTGAACTGGTGGTGATAGGAGAGGAATGGCAGTGGGAGGATGTGCAGAGGAATGTATCTGTAGTTTGGAAACCAGTGGTGTGTTAAGGGAAAGAAATAAGAGAATTTGTGCCTCTTATGGGTGTACTCACATCAAAACAAAACAAAACAAAATAACTGCTGTACTTTAAGAGGAGAATTGTTACTAAGTAAAGTTCACAGCTTTATTGAGTCAGCCCATTCAGCCATCAGGGCCTACACAGGTTTCTAAAAGAAGTGGTAGTTCTGGAGGAATTACACACCTTATCTATCTATCTATCTAAATGACTTATCTATCTCCAGAGTAGACAAAAAATACTTTCAAAAATGTGACACCTCTCTATTGTAAAAGTCAGACAGTTTTATTTTACCCTACCAGACAGAGCAGTCTGAACTCAGAGAATCTGAATGTGGACTTAGTTAACGTAAAAAGAATTAGCTCTCTGTTTATTTGGGAGTGATAAAGAGTGTACTGCCTGTTTTATCAATACTAAGCCTTGAGACACAATTCAAATGAGTTCACATGAAATTAGAGCAAATATAGTCTCCCATCTGCTCTTCCCAGTTGCAATATTGATTTATGAGGCCTTACCCAGTGCATCTTTGTTTGTAATAGTCAACCCTTTCTCGCCTTTTTTCTTCTTCTTCAGCTTCATGCCACCAAACAGCCCCTTTCTGAAAAAGTAAAGAAAATTGATCATTGCAGTCTCTTTAAGGTCTTTTCTGTGCTGGACTCTAACTCAAGGAGCCGTAAGGAGGAAGTTTTCATTTCCAAGCAAGACCATTATATTCTGAATTTCCTTTTTTTGGGAGCAAACAAGAGAAAGCTCTGATTTTATGCTTCATCTAATTTTGTTTATTTTTAAAATTTGCCCATGTACAGGCAATAATAATAATAAAATAATAATAATAAAATAATGAGAGAAGAGCCAAAACTTCTGATTGAAGAAAGGCAGTAAGATGCAAAGAAAGTAAATCAAAGATAAGTTTCCAATCTACTGACTTCCCACACATGTAGTTCTTATGCCTGTGACAAGACCAGAGATAAAAGACAAATTACAGGATCCAGATCAAAAGCAGTTTTCCACTGAATTAAGATAAACATAAATGTAAATGTGTAAATTCCTTGGTGACGACCCCCATGGTATCAGTGGCTCAACCACCACAACAGCTTTGCCTTTTATTTAGTTAGTTCTCACTCCCTTCCAGCAGTAAAGCCATGAACAAGCCTGGACAAGGGTTTCTCCTCAAGCTATGTTAGAGAAATGCTTCTGCCCAGCATCAACACCAGCTCTAACTGTGTAGGACTTATCTGCCTCCTTGCTATACTGGATTAGGGAATTAAACCATCTTAAAACCAATCAACCCAGTTAAAAATTGGTAAGGTCCTTTTTCAGATCACGCCTGGATAAAGTGGCTCTGTAGCCTCATTAGGTCTTCCTTATTCCTTGTGTTCAACTTAGGTTTAGCCACAAATCCCTGCCAGGAGCCTACCACAGTCATCCAGGAATGCGATGCATTCACAGGGTGAGATGTAGGCAGGGAAGCATGGCCTCAGCTGGTTGCCATCAGAGGTAAACCATGGCAAAACATTCAGCAGAGACCCATGGGGCAGTCCTGCTTCTTGGCAAATTGATGGCAACTCTCCCATGGCCCTGAGTCAGGAGGCAGTACAAACTAAGCACCTAAAGCACCTCTCCCAGCATCAGCACGGAGCCAGGCTGGCTGTTTAGAGGTCTGTGCTGGTTGTCCTTTTCTTATTTTACTCTTCTATTGGTCCTGCAGCTCTTCAGTGAATAGAAAGAGCAAGGAGAAGGAGCAGTTGTGTTTTGTAGAGCTGGTTTTAAACAAGGGGTGAAAAGAAATATCGCTACAAATGTCACACAGTATTTTCCTCCTAACTCCCACAAAACTCTTTGTCCCATGTCAGGCTCCAGGAGCACTGATCCTGCAACAGGACAGTGATGCTGTTCTGACACTTTGCAAGCACAGAATGAACTATGACTACAAGACTTAGAACTTCAAGTCTCCAATTCACACCTGGCCTACTGCTCCAGCTTCTGTTCTGCCATACCCACAGCCAAGGAAGGAGCTGATACACTGACAGAGCAGGAAAGCTGTGTGAAAAAGATGGGACTTCTCCCCTTTGCCCCTGAGCCCAGCTCTGCACAGCATCCATTCTTAGCAACATGGAAAAGAAACACCATTTTCTGCAATAAAGCTGTGCCCAGAGAGCCCCTTCCAACAGAAGATTTTGAAAGATGGGAAGATGCCAGCTAACCTGCAATTGCCTCCCTGAGAGATTAAAGAGGGTAATTTAGCACAGTTATCCTCACACTCTGGAAAAGTTTATCTTCATTGTTTTCTTACCTTTTCATCCCTTTTCAAAGTATGTGTTTTCAAGGCATATAATTGATCATTCAGGAGGGAGTTGGGGAGTGGAATTCAAATCTCTGAGCACTGGAGCATGCAGTTCAATCTTTCCAGGTCTTTGAATGCTTTTGGAGACTTTAATCAGTATTTAACAATAATTCCTAGAGTCTGCACATGTCTTTTTACAAATCAAGGCCTGGTAAAACAACCACGATAACATAGGAAGCATACACAAAAGTTCTTAATGATAAAGTGGACTGTGGTTGGAATAGAAGTGGGCAGTAATGGAACCTTGGCTTTGAATGTCTCAACTAAAATTTAAAAAAAATGAGGTAAGAAATTGATAGAACTAGACTGACCCTGAAAGACTATTTTCATTAAATAAAAGCCTGTGGACTTGAAATTTTGAATTAACCAGACCAATCTGACTTATACTCCGAAATTTAAAGTCATTGCAAATTATTCATCTAGCTTTATTTGATGGTGAAAATGTAAATCCCATTGCTGCAGATTTTACCTGCTTGCTGAAACCAATACAGTTCGTATTTTGTATTATATAGTAGTGAAATATGTGGCTCAGTTTGCAGGCAGTTTGGTCTTTTTTCAATTTGAAATGTGACGAAAAACGTTTCAGCATATCTGAAACCTTTAATTTTGAAATGTTAAAATTACATGGCTTTATATTTTGAAAATATACTTCTTTACACCTCTTTTTGAGAGCTGAAACAATCAGTGAATCCCACACAAATGTGTGATGTGGTGTATTTCAACTCACCTAGGACTTCTCTTTTATTAGTACATCGTTCTGTACTATTTTTCCCAATTATTGGTTCTGTTAGTTCAAGAGGAGCTCTCTGTGGTCATGATTTCATACCACAGTTCTTCCAAGGAAATAAACAAGCTGCATATTCCAGATGGAAAAACAACCTATACTGCTCAAGAATTTTGTGATATTAACTCTGGCAAACAAACCAGGGACTGAGAGTCAAACACAGAGGATTTAGTATAATGGCAGCATTTTTGGCCAGAAGTATGCAGTGACAAACGCTCAGCACATTTTTTTCCGCTGTCATCAAAGGACTTGTTTGCCTAAATTGCTGTAGGCATAAAAACTTACCTGGAGAAGCACACAGTCCAACCAGCCAAAACAAGCAGGCACCTACCAGCTGAGTTCACCTGATAGCAACCAGTGCTCAAACATCTGAAATCACCTGCAAACTCAGGGTGCCTTTAGCTATGGAGGAAAAGATACTGCAAACTGAAAAGGGAAGCTGATAATGTTTCATTGCATTCAGGGCAAGCAAATTAAGTTTACTGGCCAGGCCCAAGAGGAATGTCAGCAATGCCAGGCACACTAGTAAAAAACACACAACTTCTGTGTGCCAAAGAAACCCAAAATCTGACCAGTATGAGTGGAAATGTAGTAGCCAGACAAAACACGGCTCAAGCAAAGTAAGACCCAGAGGGTGACTGGAGGAAATGGCCACTAATAAAGCCTGATGTGGAAACTGGGCTGTCTTCCGTGATTCTTATGTTTATATAACACTGCAATTGCTTAAAGACAGAAGTGCAGAGGGTGCCACAGGGTGACAGGTAGAGAAATAGCCAAGTTCACCTAACTGCATGGTGCCAGTCTGGAAGTAAACTGTATTTTAGTCTCAGGTTTTCAGTTTGTCAGAAGTTTGGGCAGAGAAGGGTATCAGGATGCACCTGAGCTCTCCTGCACCCCTGACCATGAAGAGAAGTGTCCCTCAGCAGTACCAGAGAGACAGCAAGCACAGGTCACCTGCAAGGCTCAGCTGTGGGAAAGAAGAGTGCGGGTTGGTTTGCCAAGATGGCAGGGCAGCATTCACTGTGCATGGGACTTGCCAGAGAGAAACTTCTCTGTAAGGGTCTAAACTAAGCAAATGAAGTTTTCAGGGAACTGAAGATTCCTTCAAAAAGAGAGGCTTCATCACTTTGCTATGTAAACTGCTTTTCATCCAGTGGCAGTGTACGCACTCTACTATTGTGCACACAAGCAACAGCCACACTTTTAATAAAACCATTTAGGCTTATTAAAAACATTCTGTGGATACTTTTTTTGTGATAGACAGTTTGTTCTCTTGGAAGGATGGAAAAAAAAAAATCAATCTTTCCTCAAACTTCCACAAACTGTTTCTCTTCACTGCATCTTCAACATAGATTCAATCAACTGCAAGAAGTCATTCACTCATCATGGACCTGTGGTGAAGGTGGAGGTTATTAGTGTTGTGATAGTACTGACAAACTCAGTGAAGATTTAGCCCCTATATGCTACATGATGCACAAATACAGACAACGATTTTCTTCCTTTCTGGATCCAGGAAGTTAACTTAAGACACAATAAAACAATTTCACGTCCAAAGAGAAGCAGATGAAAGAATTCCTGCAGGCTACCAACAGGTTTCCTGTTCTAAGTGCCTTGATTAGAAGCAATTAAAAATCAGCCATCTCAGCTAGCCAAGAACATTGCTTAGTTCAAAGAGAACTGAGTCTCCCAGCTCCTTTCACATGGGGATTGTAAAAAAAATCTGGAGATAAGACAACTTTTTCTCTTCTTCAACAACAATGTGGGCCTTACTTTATGACTGTGACTCACTGACCTTGATATAAATTGTAAATAAGAGTGGGACACCAACCATAACACAGCATTTGACTGTACTCAGACCATGCTGAATTTGAATCAAAACTCTGTAAATACAAGGGTTCATTTCCCATTATCAGTGCCACAGGTTCACTGGGTCTGTGAATTGATTTTCATACTCTTTGAAAAAAAAGAGTCACAAATTGCATTCTCCTCTCATTAAGGTTCATCCATGGAAGATTCCAGCTTTTAAAAAAATCCTTTTGCGCTCTTTCTTTGTCATTTACATTGTCCCACCATCACAGAGGCTTCGCGATCACTTCTTGCACAGCATAATGTTCTCTAAGATATCCAGTAATTGCTATTTGCAGTCTAACTTAAAGGAAAGTTGGCAAAAAAAGCACTTCAGGGTTGTCAGTATGACAGTACAAGTAACCTTACTAATACTGAATTTCCTTGGAGTTTCTCCACATAGTTTAGACTTAGTTTCTTGTTCCAGTAAAAGCCTTTCAGATGTATGTGTGCTTGGAGACCTGCTGTATGAGGAGACTATCTTCTTGCTGTGGGAGTGGTCACCCATCATCCAGAGGCAAACGGGCATCTCTGGGGTGCATGTTATCTACCTCACTCCAGACACTTACTGCATGATGGCAGAAAACACTTCTCCATCTGTTATAAGGTCAGAAGAATAAGCTGA